AGCACTGGCTTCTTCACCACCAATGTTTATATTGGTGATCTTGTTCCGCATCTTAAACCTCTGTAACCACCCAGAGGAAGCATTAAAGGGTTTGGGCTCTGTAATTCCCATCTTTCGTGACACTGCAGCATACAGTTCACATGCGTACTCCTTAACAGAGCGCGTGTTGACCGCCATGTTCCGTCGCACCTGATGCACCAAGTAGCTCACAAGTAGTTTTTCTGTCTTGAGAAGCACCTGGTTGTGAAAATACTTGATCATAGAAGCACCTGTAGACTTTGTGATCTTCATGTGCTCCTTTATCTTGGCTGCATCCTTCTTTATCGTCCGGATAGTAGATTCGTTCACACCATGCTGGTGCGCCAAATCAACCTGTCTTGTTCCTTTCTCTAACTCTTGGATGATCTTGTACTTCACCTCGTAGCTTAAGGAACGCCGTGTCTTCTTGGGCTTAGGGCGGCTGGGTCCAGGCAAGGAAAGGTTTCTCTCTGGGGGTGGTGGTCCGGCGGAAGCCATTTTAGAGAACAATGGATGCACGATTACACGGTGTGGCCTGGAGGGATGAAACTGCCGCGGCTAGGTCAAGCGTCGTCTTTCCTCCCTCCCTCCCTCCCTCCCCCGTGTGGACACGTCATATTACTTTAAACCAATTACAACTAGCAGCGGAGGGAGGTAGGGATGCATGGCCAATCACAGTCCGATACGTCATATGACGTCAGTGATAACGCAACAGAGACATGCACTGCGCAACCTTACCGCGCGGCTTGGCCAGGCGGAGGCAGAGGAGGGAGGAGGCGGGAGCAGGCGGGTGGGGCAAATCTAAAAATAGCGTCGAGCCGGACACTCTCCGCGTAAAGGGGTACAAGCACTGCGGAATGTGAGCATCCTGGGTTCCGGCAAGGCACCGCGTAAACGTGGAAACGCGGAATGTGGGATCATGGAATGTGGGATCGCGTAAAGTGAGGGTTGACTGTATATGACGTTTATATTCAAATTATTGGCTGTCTTGCAAGGATTCCAGCAATGCAAATTATAATCTCCTAACTTTAGTCTGAGATAATATATAAGATAAAACTGTAAGCCTAAAAGCCTGGCTAGGGGGAGGGGGGGGGGAGGGAGAGGGGACTGAAGGAACCAGCCACGCCACCCAGCGGGGGGTTGGGGGGTTGAGGTGATAAGTTTGAGCCGAAGGTCTCTGTGTGTTTATTTAACAGTCCTACTAAGCTTCTCTCATTTTAAAATGCCAGAGATATGACCTAGGAGAATATAATTAACTTAGCTGGGATCCTTGTAATATACTGATTTATTTGAATATAAACATGTTGTAATTCGCACTAGACATAACAATTTTAGTACCGTAATCAAATTAGTACATGTGCACTCCAGCTTTGCACTAAGGTCATTTCGTTATTTTACGTTTCTTTTAGTATGGTGTACATGGATGAAAATAAATGAAGAAATTTATGTAGATCTACCCAAAAATACAGTTGAAAAACTTTTTATAAAATGTACTACAGCATTGTACACTAATGTACTACATTTTTTATATCTTGAGCAAAATATATGACGCTTATATTCAAATTAATCTCTGTCTTGCAAGGGTTTCAGCAATGCAAATTATATTATCCTAACTTTAGTCTGAGATATTATATAAAATAAACATAAAGAAGTCACCAATCTTTTATCTTGGAGCACAAGGGTGGTGGGAAGACGGGAGGGGGGGGGGAGAGGGGACAGAATGTTTGGCGTTTGTTTGTTTATTTATTTGAGATAAGATTTGACAGTTGGCGCTGAAGCCCTGCCTGCGTGTTTATTTATCATTACTTAAGAGTGACTAAGCTCTTCTCATAATTTTCCACCCAAACGACCTGGGTGAATATAACTTACATTAGAGGGATTCTTGTAAGATAGTAATTTATTTGAATGTTTTTTTTTTTCAATTTAAATTTTAATTGTTTATCCTTTGATAGAGGAAGCGGGATCCTAGTGCTGTCACTTGGTACCCCTGTACCATAACACCAGAAGCAACTGGCCAGTGTCACAAGTATATACAGTACAGTACAGTCATCCCTTGGTTATCGCGCCTAATTGGGACCCCGCCGATAACGAAAGTACAGAACCTATGGGATTTATTCTAATTGGTTCAGGCACCCAAGACCCAACCCCAAGTTTCCCATTTTACGACCATTTAGACCCACTAAATATATATATAATGTTATGGTAAATATCATAAACACACATAGGCATGGCTAGGTTTATTACAAAGTGATGAAAAGGGTACGCTTAATACTGTAGTCCACAAAACATGTATATATATATATATATATATATATATATATATATATATATATATATATATATATATATATATATATATATATATATATATATATATATATATATATATATATATATATATATATATATGTATATATATATATATATATATATATATATATATATATATATATATATATATATATATATATATATATATATATATATATATATATATATATATATATATATATATATATATATATATATATATATATATATATATATATATATATATATATATATATATATATATATATATATATATATATATATATATATATATATATATTAACTTTTATCTTTATTCAAGACTTTTCAGAAAATTCTATCGATTTTCAACCCCAGAAAATTTGTTCCTAAAGCTGGAAATTTTTGGAAAATTACGGCTTTGGGGATGATTTTCCGAGCAAGTTTCAATTTCAGCAATCGCAGATTTCCGGGTTTGACGGATTCTGGCTAACGGAGATATAACTGTATTTATTAATATAACATCTTCAGTAATAGAGAAAATATTTTTAATATGACTTATAAATAAAAGGAAAAGCTGTATCAGAAGGTTATTTACTCAAGATGCATTCATGTGAGAGCTTTCAGCAAATAAGCTTACTACTATTGTGTGATACATGATGGCTCAATTTGGCTACTTATACACTTACTACAATATTACTCATTAAGTGATGATAAATATACTACAATAATATTAAGTGATGATAAATACACGACTATAGTACAGTACTAATTTACTAAGTGTTGAAGACACATTTTGGTAAGCAGCTAACCCTATCAGCTGTTTGCTCTTTGTACACAAATGACTTATGGTGTTGAATATGGGATTCTTTTTTCAGGAAAGCTGATTATTTTAGGATAATATTTTATCAGCCTATCACCAAATGATCCTAAATTACTTGAGAATTGTGGTGAAACTGCATAAAGACATGTTCAAGGAATCATGAGGGTGAGAAGGGGAGGGAGCCACCCACCCGTGCTACCCCCCACCTCCCCTCTCTTCTGCCAGCTGCTCCCAGATATACACCCATCTTCTACATACAATATACCCCTACAATTTTTTGTTCTTATTTTTATAGTACAGTACTGTATGAACAAATAATCTAAGCCAAAATATTCCGAACTTGGTTAACTCTGTAATTCGAGAGTCCCAGAGCCCCTTTTTTGTAGAATTAATGAGGGTACATTGTAATGTTGTTTGGAATGTATCTCCATAAATACTGTACAGTGTGTTGAAATTACCACATTGTAAGATAATTTGCTGAGCTTTCAAGGAGTATTAGTGTACATGTTGGAATGTATAAACCCCTAATTACATTACTGTACTTATGGGGAAAATTCCTCATTATATAATGTTTTACTTCAAGTCGCTTTTCTCTGGAATACATCCCTGACATATAATGAGGACCCCCTGTACATATGCACCCACTTACAGATATACATAAAGTAAATTCACATATACACAAGTAGATTGAATTATTTCAGAAATACTAAAACACTTGTACAGGTCCACAATCCCTTATCCGTAATTCTGAAATCAGAAAAGCTCTGAAAACCAAAAAAATTTTCATGGAGCATCACTCGTGTGCATGACATACCCAGAGTGACGCTGAACATGACCCGAAACGGCCGAAGCTTGACCCACGCAGGTGTGAGGCATCAGTTGTGTCTCAGCAGAATATAACTTGCATTGCTGGAATCCTTGCAAGATAGCAAATAATTTTAATATAGACATCATATATTTTGCACAAGAGATAAAATTTTTAGTCCTTTAGTGTAGTACATTTACGTACAAGTTTTTCAACTCATATTTTTGGGTAGATATATGTAACTTTCATCATTAATTTTTACTCATTTACATGCACACACCATCCTAAATACATATTGTGAAAAAATTAAAAGAAATAATTGTCCTTAGGGCAAACCTTTACTGTAGTAAAATGTACTAAATAATTACTAAAATTTTTGTCTAGTGCAAACTATAACGTGTTTATATTCAAATTAATCACTATCTTACAAGAATTCCAGCAATGTAAGTTTTATTCTGCCAAGTCAATTAATTGCCATTTTATAGGCAAAAAACTTAAACTCCCTCTGTATGACTTGATAAATACTGTACCCACAAGGTAACCTTCACTGGCTGTGTCAACACAACACCTCACCTCCCTCATGCTCTCAGTCAGGGTGAAATTGGTTTTAAGTTTAAAGTTTTTATCTTCTAAAATATCACAGACTAATCTTAGCAGAACATAACTTGCATTGCTGGAATCCTTGCAAGACAGCAAATTAATTGAATGTAGACATTACACACCTCAAATTAAGTGTTAAAATATTTTATTGTTTTTTATTTATTGTTGCACAGTATACTGTAAAGTACTGTATTTGGTTACATTTAATATTTTGTTAATTCTCTTTCTGGTATACTGTACAGTACTTTGTATGTGCTTTTTAATTCACATTCAAAAGGTTCGTTGTAGAAATATTAATGTGTTTGCTTATGGGGTGCTGCCACAGACCCTGCTAGGGTGTTACCTTATTATGCGGTGTATGTACTGTTCTGAAATCCTAAAAATTTTGAATTACGAAACACATCTGGCCCCAAGGGTTTCGGATAAAGGATTGTGGACCTTTAGTACTTATCCAGCAATACTCACAGCCATATATGGTTTACATCCAGCTTGTACTGTCTTAGCAACTGAGTCTACTAAGTAACCTGAGATCCCAAAATCACACATCTTAACCTCTCCACGTCTATTAATAAGAATATTGGATGGCTTCACATCACGATGAATAACCTTAAGTTCAGTGTGTAGGTAATGTAAGGCACTCACTACCTGAAAGGAAAAACAGAATATTAAAATAATGAAACAGAGTATACATTCAGTATTAATTGTTGAGGTGTGACCAAGGAAGTATTCCTTTACCATCCATTTACATATAATTATGGTTCAAATACAAGTTCTAAATAGTATATCAACTAAAATGTAGCATTTTATGACCTACCGATCATTTGCAAGTGACTTGTATCGTGATTGCCCACCAGAGCATTCCTTTACAGAACTTGCCTTGTCAGGGGTGTATCTGCATTTTTAACCGTGTCTTAATTTATAACTGAATTACCAGAATTTGTGGTATTGTTGTTTAAAGACAATTGGCATTTGGAGCTATGAACTTAAAAGCTGTGAGCCAAAAATCATATGGAGAGTCGATGATTGGTAGACAATCCTCTTGTCCTCAGTGACCCTTCACCCACACCTATGATGCCACACAACATGGCTCACCAGAGATCAGCAGTTGCCAGTTACCCCACTACCTCACAACTCGCCAACCATGATGAGTAGAAAGTTTTTATATGATTTTTACGGCTTCTAATTTTATATCTTCATTTTTTTCTAATTTCATGTCATGTTTTTCTTTGCATTTATGGGGTACCCTTGATTTACAAAATGGTGCAGTTATTGGGTTAAAGCAGTTACAGTGTCCACTGAGATCAGTGCAAGGCAGTGACAACAGCTAATCAACCAGTCAAACTGAGGTACTGTATTTGAAATTTGCTTTGAATTCTGCTCAGTGTCCAATATGAAAACCAGGGAACCAACAAGTACACTTCAATGAACATTGAACTGCAGAAGTGCTTCGATTTATGAAAGGGATATGTTACTGGAAAGCCTTATGTAAATCAAAAGTAATTTTTCCAATTGACTCCTATTATATAAAGGGAGATAAGTTCATATAGAAAAAAGTCCCCAAACCTTATACTGTACAATATAAATGAAAAATAATATGGTCACACAAGAGGAGATGGGACGATAGTTCTACATGAGAAAATGAAGAAAATAAGACCCTGGTTGTAGCTGTAGTAAATTTAATGTAAAAAAATTAATAAATATGTTTTAAGTAACATTATTTAATGTTAATAAATGGAACAATCGAAGTAGCTAACCACTAATGGCAAAGAAAAAAAAAAGAAGATGGATTGGGAACGCCAACATAGACGTGCGCATTTAAGGATACTGCGTCATTTATCTTAAGAATATGTACAAAAGATTCATTATTGTTTATTATTGAATATGTATTTGATTGAATTAATCTTTTTATATGCAAAATGAACAATTCAATTCATTAATAATACGTAGAATATTAAAACACACAACAGGATAAGAGACGACATTGTTGTCAGTGTTGATGTAATTGCCCCTGTCTTATAGGCAGAAGTATTATATAAATGGGTTAATTACATTTGATTTATATACTCGGGTTAATTACATTTGATTTATATACTCTATCACCCTCTGTAGCTTTCCACTAGCTATGAGGTAGCATGTTCAGAGCACGTGAGAAGGTGTGCCCACGGGAAGTCGCGTCACTTAGTGCTGAGCTAAGGCATTAAGTAGCCGGCTCTCTGGCCACCTCTTGCGGCAGTAGTTTGATATCCTTGACTAGAGGAAGACGTTATTGAGAGCCATCGTGGATGGTTCCGTCTTCCCTCGAGGGAGAACGTCGGATATATTTCCGTTCTCCCTTGATGGGTCCCTACTCATTTATCACTCACCGCTCATCGACAGGACTTACTTAGCAGAGCTATTTAACATAGCCTCCTCCGTCCTCATCTTAACACTCATAGCTACAGTGATTAAGTTACGGTGATATGCACTTGGAACTGTATCTGAGATAGTTCCTCAATAAATAGATAACAGACAATTGGGTTTCGCTACTAAAACCCTATATAATATACATGTTCTAGCCTCATTAACCCAGACGGAATCAACAGTTAAAGGGCCAGAATATAAGGTGGCAGCGGTTCAGAACCTTTCACAAGATCAGATCATAAGGTGGCAGTGGTTCAGAACCTTTCACACGATCAGTTCATAAGGTGACAGCGTCTCAGAACCCTTCACAAGATTCTCGTCGCTGTCGGAAACACTATTCCAGCGTCTTGCAAAGAAAGAGCGTTCCAGTAGTTCATTCTCACTCAACTATCGTATTGACAGGACGTAATTAGCAGAGCTATTTAACATAGCCCCCGTCCATCTTCATGCTAACATCTCAATAGCTACATTGAGATAATTTACAGTGATTAACCTACGGTAATACACAGTGGAACTACATGAAATATAGTTCATTAACTAATCATAGAATCTACAGTGGTGCTTCTCAAACGATTGTTACAAGTGGTGACAACCCAGGAAGGTTATTACATATATGACAGTTTCACAAGTAACTGTTATATCACACTAACAGTCATCTCACCATATACACAGTTGGTAAAGGTAGAGATATTATATTATACTGTATACGTGGCAGCGGATCAACGAACGTAAATATGAAATAACAATCAAAGATATAGTTAAATGTGTTACATTTACTACTACAAGGAAGAATAATTGTTATATACAAAGCAGCGGATCTACAAAGAAGCCGTTATACTACTGTTACATTTACTGTTACAATGATCAAAGAAATCAGTAACGGATAACAACATTCCGGTCTATATACACATTCTACAAAGTCATAAGTGTTTTTCGAAGCCAGAAAAAACAAAAAACAGTGAAGTGTTATATTCTTCTACAGTGTATTATAGTATTCCGTAGTGAGACGTTATACGTCGAGTGATTTGTATTTTGTCATCCAAAGATGATGTACAATTTTTTTTTATATCGATAACCAATACGGAGTTATTGATAGTTGCTGAATTATGGCAACAATCCTGAGCTGAAGTGAACATTAGTTTCAGCAAATGATTCTTTCACTGCCCAGGGTGTGACAGGATGTGACTACAGTTGTTATGGGTACTCATCAATCGACATCCTGTCAACAAAATTCTTTCGTATGGAGTGAGTAACCTCCAGTTACCCGAGCACCCCAGCACACCCCCTAGTGATGACACATCTCCGATCACTAGAGATGGTCTCAGCATTCTGAGGTATGGTGTGGTGGATGCACTAATGTACCCAGTAAACCCCAGAGTCCTTGAGTTTACTGACAGGGAGCAGCAGTTTGCTGTACTCAGGATTTTCGTGGACGTTGACCCAGTTACCGACCTTCGCATCAGCTGTGTCTCCTGTGAGTGACACACAAATTTTTTTTATTTAAAATAATCCTGTATACTTTATCTAAAAGTTTGGTTAAATAAATATATTAAAAACAAAACAAAAGCTCTATATGATACGGGCGTGAATATAGCTGTTACTTTTATCCTCTTCACCACTGATCAGCTCGTTAGTTGCTTGGGTGATCGGTCATGTCTCTGTTACACACTTCACTCAATTGACTGTAATGCATAACTAATCATGTCTTAACACTTGTGATGAAGGTTGGGTGGGAGATTATTGGGTCACGTTACTAACCTGATCTGATGCAACGTCAGGTCACCCAGTGTGGGGTGGGGGATTAGTGGGTCTTATGACCTGAATATGTCTTGAATGACATTATTTTTTACCCTTGAGGTATATACATAGTACTATACTGTATTGTATATGAAGGGCACATGTATTAATAAGCATAGATTATTACAGTAATGTATCTGTACTAATTAATGAAAAACAAATAAACATTATTGAATCATGAATGAGTCAATACAGTAGACAAACAGTGAGGCGACACACACACACACACACAAAACAAGGGAATTAAGACAACAAGCATGAGGAGTGAGGGTCCTATTGTATAACAAATTTGTGTGTGTGTGTGACTGCATGGTAGCTAGTTAAATATCAGCTGTTGAGGAGCACTTAGCAACACTCCTTCCCACCCCATCTCTCTAATTACCCACACCTTTCTGCTTTCTCACTCCATATTTTAAAATGTTATGTAACATATGTTGAAGGGATACAACTTTGCTCATTTATACTTATACTTATCACAATTGTCCAGAAAATACATAGGTTTTCTGTTTATTCAAGACATCTTCAGGTCATGAGACCCATTAATCCCCCACCTAAGAAAGGGTGACCTAAGATTCCATCAGAAGGTCAGTTATTATGACACCACTAATACCCTACCTCCACCTGACACTGTGTCAGGTCAGGTCAGTTACATGAGACCCACTAATCCACCACAGCAACATGGGAGTAGAAAATAAGTCTTTGCTGTAACACACAGCTTCATTCATGCCTATAACATATATATTTTAAAATTTTAAATATATTTATTTAAAATTTTTTTTAGATAATCTATTCTGGATTATTATAGCAAAGAAATGGAGTCTCTAACTTACCATATTTTGCGGCATATAAGACGCACTGGTGTATAGGACGCATTCTAAATTTAGCATGAAATATGTAGAAAAAATAAAATTGAGGGGAATTTTAATGTTATTAAAAAAAATTTATTGCCACTTTATTGGTAAAAATAAAGCATTCCAGTATGTAGCATCGTAACTTTACCAAAACAAAACAAAAATGGCTGCCAGGTGGGTAGACCATTGTTCCTTGTTTGTTGAGCATTAGCTGGTAATTGAAGCATTTCGTGCGTCAATGAAGGTTTTGATTTATTTTATAAGGCAGTTACATGTTTATACAAGAAATATAACAATGGTTATTGGTAGGAAATCTGTAAACATCTATGACAACGAGTGGTTTGCCTGACCACTGTAGGTAGTTTCAAGAATTATCGCAGTCATTTACTGAATATTCCTTGTTTATTTATTATTGTTTTAATTGCTCTCTTTGTTAAATGGAATTATTCTTGTAATATACCATATATATTCATTCTGAAGTTGTTTGGATTCTTAAACTAGGGGGATACCGAGATCCCAAGCTGAAGCCCAATCCTGACCTTCACCATATTGGACGCAGGGTGATTTTGAGGGTAAAAAAAAAAAAAAAAAAGCGCGTCCTATATGCTGCGAAATACGGTAGTTAGAACTGCATTTATGGACTCCGGTAGTTTAGACTCGAGGAAAACATCCCCAGCACCCAGAAATGTTCTGGAGAAGTGGGCTAGTGTCCATCTATGCAAGATGTCTAGTTTAGACACTAGGAAACTTTTCCCGGTACGTAATCAGAAAAGATTCTGGGGATATGGATTTTTACCGGGTTTTGAGAAAGTTGCCGGTTAGCTGGAAATCTCTCATCCTCGGAAGTGCTCTGCACCAATTGTTCCAGCTAATGGGGATATCACTATACATAAATGCACTGTCATTTGTTTGCACTAGGAAATGAGAAAGTGTGAAGAGAACAACACCTGGAATTTTAACCACCTTCCTCAAGTAAACCTGTATGTAGGAGTCGTTCCTTCAAGCGGTAGTTTTAATCACCCGAAGCTCCTACCCTCTGTGCGGGACCATTGAGAGTAGGGTTGGTAAGCCTTTCAACCTTCACTGATGCATTATAGGTCGTCTTACTTGTGTGGTTGGTAAGCCAAAGGTGTATTTGTTTATAAACACTGGCGCCAAATTCAAGACTGTACACGGACGATCTTCAACATGGGAATTCTTAGTACCATTAATGGGCAAGGAAAAAGTTGAAATATTCCAGTTGAAAACTCACTTACAAAACTGCTAAAATGTTGAATAAATTATCTTAAATGTACTTACCTGATTAGTACCGGCATTTTTAAGATGCAATGATTCCAGCAGCTGAACAAGTTTGCATATGGGCAACAAAAATATTAATTGAATTTATTTTTTTTATAAAATTAACAGTTTTTTGTTTTGTTCACTAACCATATATATCCAATAAAAAAAATCACGAAGAGGGTAACGAAGATCAGCTACTAGCCATATCTTAAAATTCCAATATTATTAGTTTGATCTTCTGCCACCTCTCTCCATTGTGCACTGCAGTGTGGGCCTTTCGCATTTAAAACTATGGTTGTCACGATGAACCCCGTCAACGGAAGAGGGTGATTAAAACTGTGTGCAAGTCTACACTAGGAAGAAGACAAATTTCTGAAATAGAATGAGCCTAAAAAATGTAAATGCAAATGAACCATGTAAAAAAAAATATGGAAATAACTAAAAAGAATAAATTTAACTTACAGAGAATGCAATCTTGCCAAGGAATTCCTCTGGAAAAGACTTTCCCTGTGAGAATACCATGGGATAGAATTTATCCAGGGAAGTCTCCATAACTTCCATACAGATCCACACATCACCGTCTCTGAACAACGCTCCATAGAAATGGACTGTGTAGGGGCATGCGCCAGACCGCATGGAGACATCAAGGTCCATTAGGAGGTACTGTTGCTCACGACTATCTACGGTGCTGGTAATTCTCTGTTACAATAAAGGAATGTCTATTAGATATCCATTTTGTTCCAAGAAGCAGAAATATAAATAGCTAATGTCTTATCTACATAATCTAACACCTATCTACTTATCTATATACAGTAGACCCTTGCCATTTGCGAGTTTGCGATTCGCGATTTCGACGATTCACGGCAAGCAGATGGTGGTTAGTTTACTAACCATTCTGAAAACCGAAAAATTCCGAAATCCGAAATGCCTCTGGTCCCAAGGATTTCGGATAAGGGATTGTCAACCTGTACTCTCAAAACTTTAGTGTTTATGTGAAATGGACCCTAAAAGACTGCCTAGTGTCAGTGCTAGTGATGTTAGTGGAGTGAAATGTAAAAGGCAGAAGTCAGTGATGACCCTGACAAAGAAAGTTTTATTATTAGATAAGTTAAAAGAGGGAATGAGCGCTGCCGCAGCTGGTCAGTTGTTTGGTATAGGAATACAGTAGTGCACTAAGGTAGTATAAGTTGCTATTCGTGGTTTTGCCAATTCGCACCATTTTTGGAACCTATCCCTCGCAAATGGCAAGGGTCTACTGTGCATCTAACACTTTATCTACTTGTCAATTTCAACAATTTATTCCATATTCAGTAAAACCTCGCTCAGGCTGACCCCGCTTAAGCCAGACAAAATTATTTGCCCCAAAGCAATTAAAAAATTGAAATAATTAAAAACTAAAAAAAAATAAAAAAGTAGGGCATAATTTGTTGTAAAACGACATGTCCACCATAAGCTAAAATTTCAAGGGATCAAGGCGGACAGACCTCGTGATCCACCCACGCCAGTAAACAAAGTGACACGCGTCATGCACTCGGTCATAAATTAGCGTTGCCCATGATAGCATCACTTTTCCTCTCTCGCTCTGTCAATTCTGTTTTATTGCCACTTAGACATGCTGAACTTTATTTTGAAACTTGTTTGACATTGAAAATACTTCAGTAATGTGAAATGTTGTAGGCTGATGTAGAATCCAAATTTTTGCCATATTATTAAAAAATGACACAATAAGCCCATGGCCTCTAAGAAAGTGTTTGGTGTCTGTAAGAGTGGTGAGAAGGTTAAGCCTAAAAACCTTATCAGTGAACAAAAAGTTAAAGGTGATTGAAAAGCTAAAGGTGCTGCTCCCTCGCTAATATGCGCTGAATACAGAATTTCAAAGCACTCATACTCAATAGTGACTGCAAGCCTCTTGCGGTCAAAGGCATGTCCAACTGGATTTGCCTTCCATTTTTGAGGGTAAGTGTACCATACTTTGAGTACATTACTTTTTATTTAATTAATATATATTTTTTTAAACCTGAATTTCTTGAATAAAAATTGGATACATTGGTGTTGTAATCATTTTTTTCTTCAAATAAAGGTTGTTTTTTTTTTTTTTTGCTCCCGGACATCTCTTCCCCCCAATTAGTCTGCCTTAGTGAGGTTCTACTGGAAATGGGATCCTAGTGCTAGGTACCCCTGCACAATCTACTTATCTATAGACACCTTATAACTGTCCAAATATTGAAACAAAAAGACACTAAACTTAGGTCCTGCTTCTCGCACATTTCATCTTAATTAACTGTTTCCATTATTCCTGAATTGCATTTTTCATAATAAACATATATGTCTAAAAGAATGTTTTACAAAAGCTCAAGACACATTACTCTCCATTTTCCCAAAAAGACTGAATTCTCACAAATGAACAATGGGTGCACAATTTGCAAAAACTATTTTTTTTCTTAAAAAAAAAAAAAAAAATTATATATATATACAGTTAATCCTCACATTACGCGGTCCCGCATTCCGCGTTTCACCGTTACCGCGGTGCCTTGCCAGAACCTAACATGCTCACATTCCGCGGTCGTGAACGCCATTACGCGGAGAGTGTCCGGCGCGACGCTATTTTTAGATTTGCCCCACGCGCCACCCACCCGCCCGCCTCTCCCTCCTCCTCCCTCCGCTTGGGCAAGCGGTGCGGTAAGGTTGCGCAGTGTGTGTCTTTGTTGCATTATCAGTGACGTCATATGACGTATCGGACTGTGATTGGCCATGCATCCCTACCCCCCTCTGCTGCTAGCTGTAATTGGCTTAAAGTATTATGACGTGTCCACCCGGGGGAGGGAGGGAGGGAGGAGAGACGACGCTTGACCTAGCCGCGGCAGTTTCATCCCTCCAGGCCACTCCGTGTAAACGCGCATCCATTGTTCCGTAAAATGGCTTCCGCCGGACCACCACCCCCAGAGAAAAACCTTTCCTTACCTGGACCCAGCGGCACTAAACCAAAGAAGACACGACGTTCCTTAAGCTACGAGGTGAAGTATACCATCATCCAAGAGTTGGAGAAAGGAACAAGGCAGGTTGATTTGGCGCGCCAGCATGGCGTGAACGAATCTACGATCCGGACTATAAAGAAGGATTCAGCCAAGATAAAGGAGCACATGAAGATCACAAAGTCTACAGGTGCTTCTATGATCAAGTATTTTCACAACCAGGTGCTTCTCAAGACAGAAAAATTACTTGTGAGGTACTTGGTGCGTCAGGCGCGACGGAACATGGCGGTCGACACGCGCTCTGTGAAGGACTACGCACGTGAACTGTACATGGCAGTGGCACGAAAGATGGGAACTTCAGAGCCCAAACCCTTTACTGCTTCCTCTGGGTGGTTACAGAGGTTTAAGATCCGGAACAAGATCACCAATATAAACATTGGTGGTGAAGAAGCGAGTGCTGATCGTGCTGCGGCTCGGGAATTTCCTCCGTTTTTACGTGAGATTATGGAGGAAGGACAGTACAGTGACGACCAGGTGTTTAACATGGACGAATCTGGTCTTTTCTGGAAAAAACTACCTTCCAAGTCCTTCGTTGTGAAGAATGCCAGCAGGATTCGGGGCCGGAAAATGCAGAAGGAACGCATCACCGTCCTGTTTACCACCAATGCCTCCGGTACCTGTAAGCTCAAGTTATCGGTGATCCACACAGCCCGCAAGCCGCACGCCTACAAGAGCATGGACATGACCAAGCTAAATGTCCACTGGCTGACAGCACGTAAGGCATGGATGTTCTCTACACTGTCCCTCTCCTGGTTTGATGACTGTTTTGTTCCCGATGTAAAGAAATTCTGTGAGCAACAGAATGTCCCATTTAATATTTTGTTGCTGCTGGACAACGCACCAGGACACTCGCCCCTACTGTTAGATCGTCACCCCAACGTAAAAGTGGTCTTCCTTCCTCCCAACACTACGTCTTTAATCCAGCCCATGGACCAGGAGTTGATTTGCAATGTGAAAGCTGCATTCTCAACAAAAAAATTCCAGCTCCTGAACGACTACACCAACACCAGGGAAGAGTTGCGTGACCTGAGTGACACCACCACCGATAGCAAGAGCGACGAAGATGAGGAACAACGGTTAGAACAGCAAAAAATACTCTTCAAACAATTCTGGAGAGTATTTAACATCAAGAAAGCTGTGGACATCTTGGTGGAGTCATGGGATCAGCTGTCTATTGCTACAATTCGTCACGCATGGAGACATGTGTTGCATGGAATGCCAGGTGAGAGGAGGAGTCAATCTGTGACTGGTGAGGTTCAGACTGTTGCAGTAGCAGTGGACCTTGCCAGAGAAGCTGCGCAGACTGTTACAGTTCCAGGCTTCTCCGAGACCACCAACGACGACATCCTGGAGGTGATCAGAAATCCTGAAGTGACTGCCGACGAGATGTTGGAAGAAGAACACGTCAGTGAAGAGGAGGAAGAAGGTGCGGCAGTCTCCGAAGAACACAATTTAAGTCATAGTGATATTAAGGGTGCCATGGAGTGTGCAGAGAAGATGAAGTCCTTCCTTTCCCGCGACAATGACGATGACCGCTATGAAGTCTTCCATAACCGGCTGGTGCAGGCTATGGAGCCGTACATCAAGGTGTATCACGACAACATCAACGCCAGCCGTCAGCAAAGCATAACAGATTTCTTCACCCGCAACCCACCACAGCCAGCCCAAGCCAGTGATAGTGACAGTGAAGTTGACTTTGAGGGATTTGTCAGGGAAGCCCTGACAACTGTAAGTGACAGTGATGATGATTCACCTAGTAATGGTGATTCACCTGAGGGCCAGTAATCTGCCCTCTGCCTCGGAACCAGCCTCCATCCCCGTATGCCGACCCATCTCTTCTACTACCGTAAGTGTTCCACCTAACTTTTAGTTTCTCTAAGGTAACCTTCATTTTTCCTATGTTAACCTTTATCTTTCCTTACCTAACCTCTTCTATATTACTTGTTTTTTCATACCATCATAAAGTTAAGATAAAATTTTTACTGCAACATAGTTATGTGTCGTCAAAAAGTGGAGTTTGGGGATCGGCCTGGACTCCATTTCAATTAATCCCATATGTTATGTTGTTCACTTTACGCGTTCCTCACTTTCCGCGGGACCCTCCGGGTTACATTAACCGCGTAATGTGAGACCCAACTGTATATAAATAAATAAATAAATAAATAAATAAATAAATAAATATATATATATATATATATATATATATATATATATATATATATATATATATATATATATATATATATATATATATATATATATATATATATATATATATATATATATATATATATATAATCACTCAAATCCTCACTTCATAAACAGTCAGGCTGGAGGACACACTGATCTTGGGTAAGAGACCTGTGCTGCCATCTAGTGATAGATTGAGTTTACAGTATTTTCATTTGCCTGTAATCTCTTGTTATCACCCCAAATTGAGTTAAAAAGAAAAGAAAAAATCCAGTGGTTTGCCAAGGAGGTCATTTATAAACAGTAAAAATGGAAATTTGAAGGTGAAACTAGACATTACATTATAAAACAAAATGAGCATCAACAACAGTTGACTGTGAAAAAAATATGACACATGCTTACCACATCTGATATAACAATTTTATGCATTTTTAACATTATTACATGCTTCTTGTTTTAATATCATAAGATTAGTAA